TTTAATTTTTTAAATCTTTCTTTAAAAAAAAAAAAAAGGCTTATTTTTTTTTATAATTTTGAGTTTAGAATTTTTGATTAAATATTTTTTCTTCATTTGTTTACAACCCCACACTTTGGGCCTTATTGTATTTGTTTAAAAAACAAAAAAAAGTTTATAATTTTTTTTTAGGGTTTGTTGAAAAGGAAGATTGTTTACAATTTGAAGTTTTTGTGCTTAAAAATTGATTTCTCTGAGCGGGAAGTTTGTTTAGGGACGGAAAAATGTTTCCGAAAACTCCGTGCAATTCCACTATAAAAGTTGTGTTTTGGTTGCTTTTTGGCGTTTTTTCATTTCATATTTTATGTTTTTACAATTTTTCTTTAAGTATCGCAATCTGTTTCCCCAAAATAGCTCATTTAATTATTTATTTGGATTTTAAATAAATTAGGTTTTCCATTTTGTTTTTGCACCCTTTGTTTTAGTTTTAAAAACAAAACCTTGCAATTAATTTAGTTAATTTTGATTATCTTCTTTGTTTTGGTAAGGATATTTTATTTCATTTTTTTTTTTTCTTTGTTTTGTTAAGTTTTAATAATATCCTTTGCAATTTAAAGTATCATATTATTTAAATTAATATATTCATTCATAATAGGATTTGTTTCTCATTTGTTTTTTTTACATTGCTTAATCCCTAGAAAGGGTTCAAATATATTGTGTGGTATTTCAATTTTTTTTTTGCTTAGGGAATAAAACTTAATTTAAAAAATTTTTATTGGGCAATATTATTACGGGATTAAAAAAAGAATTTTGCATAAAAAAAAAGAACCCTAAAATCACCCCCGCCTCTTTGTTTCTTAAAAAAAAATTTGATTTCAGAGGCTTGGTTGGCTAATTTGATTTTAAAACGTTCTTTTAATTCTTCGGGCCTTGAGGTTAAAAAAAAAGATCCAAGTTAAAAGTCTTTTTTTGTGCTGTTTTTTTTCTTGTTTTTGTTGCATTTTTTTGTTTTTTTAATTTTGCCTTTGCATTTTTTTTAACCAATTCATGGGATACTGAAGAAACAAAAAAAAATTGAAAAACTGGGCACTTTTTGTTTAGTATGATTTCTAGGGTTTAATTGCTTTTTTTCTCCTTAAAAAAAATTCATGGTTTTTTTTTTTCCCTTATGGGCTTTAATTTGTGGTTTTTAAGATTTTTTCAAAAAATAATTTTGTTTCAATTTAAAAATACTCGAATTTTTTATTTGGAAAATTTCATTTTATTGTTGTTAATTAAAATGTGGGGCCCACGTATGGGAAGAAAAAAATTTTCCCAAAGCTGAGGCAAAAACATGGATAAAAAAGATGTTTTTTTATGAAAACCAAGCTTGTAGAATTTTATTTTAAGATTTGGCATTTTTGATTCCAATTTTATGGTTTTAAAAAAAAAAACAAAAAGGGGGCCTTGGATTTTTTTTCTTTTGATTTAATGGCTTTTTACCAAAAAAAAAACCTTTATTTGGGACCCATTTTATTTTGGAAAAGCAAAAAATTTCAAAATGGAAAGGACTTGAGCGTTCCGGGAAACAAATAAACTTTGGGAAGGATTTTTCTTCCCTTTAAAGTTTTTCATAATTGGAAGCTTTCAATGGCCCAACGGTGCACTAGGGCGTTTAGGGCCCTATTTCGGGAGGTTTTTTTTGCGAGGTTTCGGAAATCTAATTTTATTGGAATTTTAAAAAACTTTCAATGATTGGAAACCTTAGCTTTTTTTTTGTTGCTTAAGTTGAATAAAAAAATTATTTGCATGCCTTACAAAAAGAATTGGCGAAAAGAAGAAAAATGAATTTTTCCAGTTTTTTTTGATTTACAAAGCAAGCAATGTTATTTTTTGTTTGAAAAATTTCCCGATCCTTTTTGGTTTTTTAAAAAACTCTTAAATTTGATTAAAACTTATTTTTCTAAATTTGAAAAAAATGGATGATTCCTTTAAAAAAAGAAAAACAATGGAAAACAAATTTAAAAAGATGGGATTCATTGGATCTGCTTTCAAACTTTTGCTAAAGTTAAAAACTTCATTTGGGAAAAAAAAGGAGAGATAAAAGTGTCAAGATTGCTCCTTGTTGCATCCTCATAATAGCTTTTCTTTCCATCACGATGTAACCACACAAACATGCCAAACCCATGTTTCTATTCATAAAGCCATTTCCATCGGTGTAAACTAAGATGTTGCATTCAATTGTGGTCGTTTTTTGGTTCATTTGGCCGGGTAAATATTGTTTCTTGATTTGAAAAAAAAAATTTCTTTCATTTTGCCAAATTTGCTTGTAAGTTGAGAGCCACATGTTTAAACTTTGTTTGATGTTTGGTGGAAGGTTTTTGGAACATCTTGCTTTAAAAATTTTGTTTTTGAATATTACAAAAAAGCTTTTCTAAAGTTGGCAATTATGTTTCCAATAGGACCCATTATTATTAAAGAATGTTTTCTCATTTGAAAAACTAATTAAAAAAAAACAAAAATCTTTTTAATTGCGGCAAATGATTCTTCCGCTGGCACGCACCAACTTTGGTTTTCAAACCACAAAAAAATCATTTAAACCCTTCATTCATTTTTGCCACCTATTTGCAATCGGAGAGGTTCATGAGTTACAATTTTTTTTTGTTTGTTTGACGTTATAGTTGCACCCATATGGGGGGTGTCCCAAAAACGGAGTTTTCATAAACCCTAGGACCTTTTGAGGTTAAAATGATAGGGGCATTGTCCCTAACTTTTTGGTACCAAAACAAATTTTTACTATTGGCTAAACCAAAATTAAAATTTTTCCAATTTTAAACCAGAATTTTAAGTATTTTTATTTTTTTTCTTTGTTTCTTTGTTTTTGCAAAAAATTGATGCTTTGGAAATTCTTTTTTGGAAAAATTTTAATTGATAAAATCTTTTGTTTTCATGATTATTTTGTTTTTTATTTGCATTGGATTTTGTACTTTCAATATAAACCCTCCGGGGAATTTATTAGGTGGTTTAATTTCCGAATCTGTTTAACCGGATGCTAAGGTATTGGTATATGGGGTTATTAATTAGCTTCAAAGGCAAGGTATGGTTTACCTCTTTGAAATTTTTTTAAAAAAAATTCAATGCAGATTTGCTTTTTATGTTCTTAATTATGGATTTTTACTGTGGATTGTATGATTTCATTGGTTATATGTTGTTCATTTGAACCTTTTTAATGATTTTCATTGTTCTTTTCTTTTTTGATTTCAATTTTAAAATCTATTTTTTGAATCTTATGGTTTTTTGTTAAAGAGACAACTTCTTTTCATATTTAAAACATTATTGGTTTTATATGTGGTTTTTTTCGTTATTCTTTTGTTTATTGTGAAGTTGATATTTAGCATATTCATGGTATGCTTGCTCAAGAACTGTTTTTGCCCTTGATCTTATGCCAATATTTATTTTAGTTAATTGCATTTTGATAGGGGGAGCTATTTTTTCCCTATTTCTAGTTTGTTTATTCATTTTTAAACGTCAACCTATGCTTATTGATAGGGGGAAGCTTTCCGCTCTCTTACATTCTTTTGTCCCATTTTTGATGTTGTCAAGGGGAGACAATTATTTGGTGAGTATATTCTTTCTTGTTTATAGCAATGATCATTTAATTCATACTTTGTATATTCATTCCTTTCATGGCATATGATCCCTTTTTTGTAAACTGTTATCATCATCAAAAAGGGGAGATTGTTCTTCTTGTGTTTGATGAATGGGTTTAACAAACATTTACAACTAATGTTGTGTTTGTCTTAGTGCTTGTGTGTTATCTATTCATTGTAGAAAACAACTTGTTGCGAGGGGATGGATGACAAATAGAGCTTCAACCAATGATAACTCCAATGGAGGTTGCGAATTTAGTGGGGTTTTGAAGCCTATGACAATTCAAGTTGAAATCCAAGTGTAGCCTTCAATCCGCAGAGTCGTACCAAGTCAAAGGCTTAGTTGGAGTCATGAGATTTTGCTTGGTAATCTAGTTTAGGCTTTATAAGTTATGTTGTGTAAGCTACCTTAAGCCTCAAATACTATACACACAC